TTTATTGTTATTTATCAATAATTACTTAATTATTTGTTTTTGAATAAGAATATTTTTAATAAAATTTTTTATAACAGAATTGTTTTTCTGTATCTCTTTAATTGTTTTAAAGAAAAAAAGCCAGGGTGGTGCAAGTGCACCCTCTTGCACCCCGCTGCCGGCGCCCTTGGGAAAACCTATTATCATTAATGTGAATTTACAACCACATTTCCCTTTCTTTTAAGAACTGTGGAAACCCTGCTCTGATTTTATCGACAGTAGCTCTACCACAATGTGTCCACACAAGAGATGAGATGGACCTCCTAGAAAAGAGAAGGCCTCAGCACGGGTTAATATACATAAGAAATTTGATGCCTTAGTAGACCATCTTTCACCCCCACTGTGCAGCTTAGTAGCTCAAACATAGTGACAGCACAGTTTATGTACGTAACGTGGTTTGTCTAAAACAGGGGTTTCCAACTTACATGAGGGCGTGGGCCACAATTGAAAACACCAGTCAAATGGCTGGCCACAACTTTATCAAAATTTCATCTAGGACTCTTTTATGTTTGAAGGAACTTTAAATATTACTGTCAGATTTTTATCAAGTTGTACAGAACAAAAGTATTGAATTACAAATTTAAAAAAAGTAGTAGATTTTTAAAAATATTTAATTGCATGTTAAAAAATTCTGGCTACAATAACTTTAATGCGCACCTATGTATTAAACAATTAATATACAACAGATATCCAATTGTTAAGATATAAAACTTAAAAGTATTTAAAACCCATGTAGATTTTCTACGAAAATTGTCCGCAAAAAATGACAACTAATATATTTTGGTTCGCGGACCTCAAAAAAAGGTTTCGTGGGTCGGATGAGGATCGCCAGTTGTTAACGATTCGTCTAAAGTAAGAACTTCCCTAGCCATTCGTCTGGACCGGTGACTATGGTAACGAGGTATAACTGTTTCAAGTAAGGGCTCGAATCGGCAAGAGGAAGGGAATCTTCGGTCTACTGTGTTAGCCCTAAAGTGAAAAGAAGCTACCCTCCCTGAAATTCGCTATACTTGTTTCTATAGCAGCCTCGGGCTTTGTGGCGGGGGGAATTCTTACCGTAGACAAACTATAAATTGATTCGTACTGAGAACTTCCCTCTTGTAGGAAGTGTTGCACGGGCTCGTTTATCGAAAAAAAAGTTTTCGAGCTTAATATAAAATTTTACTATTTTTTTACTACTTTTAAACCAACGTTTGGTTTAGTTATTAAGTATGAAAAATGCAAAACTTACAAAATAAAAAATAAAAACTACTTTGCGCCTTTGTTTTGTGAGGCTTAAGATGCAATCTTTAGTTTAAGATTTAGATTATTTGTTTTAGTTATTTTGGAATTTCCGTTGGCAGTATACGAGGCGTTGAACCAAAGAAATGGGTTGGACGTCGTTCCTTGGCGGGTCGAAGTGAGTGAAATAAGTGTAGCTAACTGACGGTATTCAAATGACACAGTGAAAGATTCTATTTTGTCCAGTAGTAAAAAGTAAAATTCAACGGTCACTCCTTGCGGGTAGATGAACAGAATCTCCAAATATATCACAGCCCTTGTTTGTAAAAGTACGTTCTAACGGAAACCGTAGAGAATTTCTTTCCTTTCTTTTATTTAATATCACATGCATTTTGCGTATTATTAATCTATAATTATGTATTTTTAATTTGTTAATCTATATTTTTAAAGATTAGTCATCCTCATACTAAGGAAAGAATAAATTATCCGACATTTATATCAGGCTTGGGTGGACATGTATCTCCAAATGTCAGCCCTATCTCATCTCTAGTTCACACTACAGCCCTATGTGGTCATTCATTCGTTTAAATTCATAATCAATTAAATAGTAGAGTCGCTGTGGCTCAGGGGACAGAGCGCTCGCCTCCCATTGAGATAACGCGGTTAGAATCCTAACGTAAGCAATAATTCAAATTCCGCACTAGACCACAGCGATGACGTAGAAATATTCTCAGTAGTGAGGATCATGGGTTAGAGTTTCCTTGCCCTCAGGCTAACCGTGGGAGGTTTTCGTGGTTTTCCTTTCCATGTAACATAAATGCGAGTTAGCTTCATCAAAAAGTCCTTCACGAAGGCAAATTTCTCCCCCTACTTGATCCAGGAGTTCCCTTGCCTTCTGGATTGGGTTCAAAATGACAAGGTTGCAAAGTTGAACATCGGTAGTCGTAAACTCAAAATTGGGTCTGCTGTTTACGATGGTAATCAATTCAATTTAAATATGTAATAAACGTATTCATTCATAACATAGTTCCTATTGTTAAAACGAGGAATATAATTTGCCTAAAATTAACAAATTACTTCTCCATAACATAGTTTTACCAATCTGTCAAAATTTACAGAGAATTTTCGAGTGATATATATAACAGAAACATTTCATTTGTCTACCTACACCCAGCACCCTCTTCCCTATTTAACAATTATGAAGGAAATTGTTAGGGACGGAATTTAATAAAAAAATGGAAACCTTTTATTTGATACTAGGAGGTTCCGCCCCCTGCTCGCTAACGCTCGCCAACCCCCCGAGAATTGCTACGCAGTCCTATGTGGTTCACGCCGTGAACCATGGCTCGCTGCGCTCGCTCGCCAATGAACACNGCTTTACTGAGGAAAACGTAAATATATAATTGTTAGATTCGAACCTAGGTTCTTCTATGGAATTATGATGCAGGAGATCATCTTTCAGGGGTGCTACAACTCATCAGAAGTTTCAATTGTAGATCTGATTTTTGTCAGACTTGAAAACTGTACAACCTCTTCTCCAAATCATAGTAGTAAATAAATAAATTTAAGGAAAAGGGCATATCGCCATCAATCACTTCACCGACAGGATCATGTCGCCGGCACGATCATTTTGCCAACTAGACCAATTTAATTTTATTATTTTATCTGCCTAATTTCTTTATTACTTATCAAGTTTAGTTTTGTAAAAAGTTTTTGATATCTTTTTTTAATAATTTTTGTGCATTGTTTTGCGGGAGTCATAAATATGTTTTTAATTATTTATTTAAAATTTGATTACTGATTATAACTGAAAATTTGATTATTAATTTGAGACCTGGGGAAGAAACTATTAAATTAGCTCTCTAGAGAACTCATAAATATGAATTGGAGTGCATATCAACTAAAACTTTCATTTGGTTTTGGATTTACGAAATACATGTTTTAGGAATTCAAAAGTGTTTATCTAAAGTTTCGTTTAAAAGAAAATTGGAAAATTTTCATTATTTAAAACAAACCTGAAAAATTGTAGTTGAAAATAATTGTTTTAAAGATTTTGAGGTGGTGCGTTTGAAACCACTTATCCAATCCCCTTTCTATACATATAATTTTTTTTTAAATCCTAAATATAATTTATTATTTAATTACTTTTTTACGTTAGTCATTTAAAATTCCGCCATAGCAATTTAATTTTGTGAACCCTCTTTGTATACCACACGAACGCTTTGAGTTTATGGTTATGCAACGTAACAACAAAACGTTAACGCTAATATTAATTTTTATATCGGTTATGTTACATATCTATATATATTTTAACTTGATGGATAACAAAAGTAATAATTATGGATGAGGTTAGCTAGTGACACTAAGCTATTAATTTCCTTTTTATAAAGGTTTTTGCTTGCAAAAAAAGAAAAATATGTATATATATATATTCTATAGAAAATATAGAATGTTATGATTTGTTAATAAAGTAAGTAAGATCTAGAATAGTTTTGATACTAGCTGCAAACAAAGGGGAAAATAAAACTTTAAATGCTTCTTGAGGTCTGTAGCATTGATTGTTCAGCGAAATGATCATATCGTCATATCATAGCTGTCAGTGAAATGAGCTGTCAGTGAAGTGATCGTATCAGCAAAGTGATATGAACCAAACCCAAAGAAACAGATGAGAGACTTACGAAATGTGGATCGTCACTAAATGTCGGATTTACATTAAATAGTAATAAATCTAAAATATTTAAAAGGAATAATAAGTAAAAAAAAAATAAAGATGGGACTGTGGGGAGAGGAGTAATCGACCATGTCAACCTTCATCTATGAAAAGGTACCCCGACATAGAGTCGAGTTAACATGTCTTATATACTAGTGAATTGTAGTTGTAATTTTGTAGTGGTAGATACGCTACAGGACAACAAAGAAGTCTTTTTAAATTTTTCCTCAAAGAATTAATGCCCTTTTAGAATTAAACTTAAATTTTTGTAGTAATGCTGTAAAAGAAATAAAATGAAAATTCAGTAATACATTATTTTCTTTTTCATAGGAACTACTGAACGAACTGATTATTAAATTTGAAATATTTTTCTTCGTAAGTTATGATCAAATAATAATCAATTAAATTGTGTTCTTTGCTGGAAACTTAAAAATCTAAACTATAATATAATGAGATTTCTTGGTCACATTTCAGGAAATACGATTTTGAATTTACCAGAAAACTTGCTATCAGATGTCTTTTCTTTTTCTCATATTTGGGGGGAAAAGATTAATATTTTCTTTCCGAAATTGACGATAAATTTTCTCTCTATAAATGTAGACACATTTCTTGAATTGGTGATAACTGGTCATTTCTAATTTTTGACTCATTAATTTCAAAATAAAAAAAAAGGGAGTGGGGAATTAAAAGAAAAGCATTTAAGTGCAAAATAAAGAGGCCTACAATTTTTTTTAAAGGAAATAATAGTAAAAAATTGTTAGAATAAAAATCTTTCTGCACCATTAGCACATTAAATAAACGTTTTCTTTTTCTTCGTCTGATAAAATGGCTGATTAATATAGAATATATTATAACTAAGTATCAAATATATTATAAGTACTTCACTTGTCTCTAATTGACTATTCAAATAGCTCTAATAGGAGACTAACGATTGTAAAATTTGCTTTCCTGAAAGATGAAACAATTATCTTAAGATTATTGATAAGGCGATAAGTATGCCAAATTTTCGTTTGTGCAACACTTGTTTACCTTGGCAAAGCGTATTGTTTTCGTCTAATAAAACGGAGGAGGAGAAGGACATATTTTACTCAACTCTCTCCTAGTCATGGTTGTGTGCTCTCTTTCGTGTTTGAAATTTGGGCGTTTCTCGTACTCTTTAATTTAATGTATTTCTTTCATTTTTAAGCATTTAAATGGAAATATTATCAAACATAAACACTTGGTTTTGGAATGACTACGTTTGGTTACCTCCAAATGTTACATGGGATGATATTCGCGATACCGGCACAGTAAAGTACGCGCAATTTAGTGACCTGAATTATGCATTTAATGTAGCTATAGCTCTTCTGATCATTCGATACATTCTTGAAAAGTAAGTTTATAAGTTAAAATATCATTTACTGTCATATTTTCACATATTATCTGCTTAATTTTAATGCATGTTTTTACAGTGCTGTCAATTCTTTCCAGTAATAGTTGACCTCAATAGACTTGATAATTTCTTTTGAATAATTAGAATGCTATTTTCTCATTGTTTTACAAATTAAAGAGCAGAAAAATATCACTTAAGTTGTGAAATAAAATTAATTATTGGACCAATTACTCTGATGTGTGCTGTATAAACATTTGTTGACATCTCATCATGTTTTCTTTTGGTTAGCCGATTTTCTATTATTTACAAACGTTTGGTTCACTATATTATTTAATTTTCATTAATAAGCTTTTGTGGTGTTAATATATTCTATCGTTAATAATGATTCATATTTGTAATGCATATTACGAGGTATGAAACAAATTATATGTTTACAATAGCAAATTTGCCATGTTCTATGGTTGAACATTGTAGGTAAATATTTTTAAAATTTATGAAATATGTTGCAATGAAATATTAGATATTTACATACTTCAAAACAATTTTAAAGTTCCCAAACCATTTCTAAAATTATTTCTTCTGAATTGTGCTTATGCTTATTGCTTTACTGAAGCATAGTTATGATCAAAAGCAGACAAGAACAAAGCTGCATACTATAAGTTCTATAATAGGTATAATGTATTTTAATAATATCTGTTATGAATGTTTTCTTTATTATTTAATATCCATTAATAAGTTTTTGTGTGGTAATTATGTACAATCATTAATAATAATTCATATTTTTTATGCATGTTACAAGGTATAAACAAAATTATGTATTCACATTATTAACTTTTCTATGTTGAGCATTGTAAAAATATTTTTAAAATTTACGGGGGATGTTTCTCCGGGGGATCTGTCACTCCAACTACAATTGCCAAGGTGCCAAATAGATTTTAAACTTGCAAATTTTTAAAAAACAAAGCATGTAGATGTTGCCCGGGGGTGGCTACGAGTTATACATTTCGAGTTAGTCCCTTTCTGTGATGTTTTTTTTTAAGTTTCTCGCGGGTCCCTGTCAGGAAGCTGCCAAGACTTGGCGAATATTCTGCCACAGATCACGATGTGGAAATCTCCCCAATTTATGAAATATGTTGTAAAGAAATATTAGATATTTACCAAAATAGTTTTGAAGTTCCCGCTCCATTTCTAAAATTATTTCTTCTGAAATGTGCCTATAATGATTATTAATTTACTAAAGCATAGGTATGATCAAAAGCAGACAAGAACATAGCTGCATACTATTGGGTCTTTAATTGGTATTTTGGAAAGATTTGTTATGAAACTAGCATTACCTAAAAGAGGATTATCAGTATCTATCATGTCAACTGAAATTATTAAGGTGTTTAACGTCACTGTTACATAAATAGAATATATTTAGTAATTTTACCTCTGAACTTCGGTAGATTCTTTATTTATTTTTTTTTTTGTTGAGTTTGTTTTTTTGCATTGTCACATTGGTTATTGTTTAGGTCAGCTGTTCTTAACCTATGGGTCGCGACCCAAAATTGGGTCGCGGCTGGAAAAGGTTAAGAACCACTGGTTTAGGTTACCAAAATATTTATTATTATTTTTTAAAATTGAGATACTTTAGGGTCAGAAATATTGAAAAAGTGTAATTTTTATAGATTGCCTCAACTTAGGACTTCTGACAATCACGTAAACCGTAATATTGTTTAATATCCGTTATTTTCATTTTTAATGCTTTTCTTAAATATTTAGATCTATCTTTGCTCCCATTGGTTGTTATCTTGGACTCAAACCAAAAACCTATAAATTGCGTGATAATCCAGTACTTGAAAAAGCTTACAAAGAAAATGGAAAGCTAGAACCTAAACAAGTAAGTATATTTCTAGTTATTGATTCATTGAGTTATTTTTATTTTAAAGGAGTGAAATTTAGCTTAAGTACAAAAAATATATTTGGAAAATTTTAAAAGGACATACAGTAGACTTTCCTTTTTACGCAGTTTCGTTTAATATCGATCATTTTACTAATCTTTACACTGACCTACTAAGTTTGGCAGTATTAGTTTGAAGCAGATCAATCTTAAAATACTTTAAATTATTTTTTCAATGCAAATAAATACTACTTAAACATAAGTATGCATTTATTATTTAAAGAAAAAGTTGAAATTTTCTTGGGTATTAAAAGTAAGTAGAAAGGGAGTAATTAAAAGTTCTTAGCAAATAGTTAAATGTGAAAAATTCTTGCTTAGTAACAAAAATTTCTTAGCTGTGATTTTCATTATTTACACCCTCAAAGTTAATGTTGTTTATGGAGTATATAAATTTTCTACTGTGTTTTTCTTGAGGTTGGCTTGTTATTTTTCATTACCTTATTTTGAATATTTGTCATTCTAAAGCTTAGCTAACTAATAAATATGTGAGGACTCTGGATTGTCTAAATAATGAAATTTTTTCAAGTTTTTTAAGGTGCTTATTTTTTATATGTTTTTTAAAAGGCCTTAAAGCTGCTTTTTTTTTAAATTCGGGGTTTTGTAAAAAGTGCTTAATTTTCTATCTTTTAAAAAGATTTTTTCTTTGCTGTGTCGATTCCCATTCTAAATTACAAAAAATGCATGATTTTCTCTGCAATATTTATAAGAAAATAGTTATTTTTTTCATGATTTTGCAAAGTTTTTGAAAATGTGTTTGAATTTTATTGATTTTTTGTTTATAAATTAAGAACTTTAAATGATAAAAAAAATAATTTTTATTACTGCACAGATCTTAATTATGATTTTTTTTTGGAAAGTGATAAAAAATATTTTTTGAGTGCTTAAAAAGTGCTAATTTTTTGTTGAAAAATCTGGCTAGGCAGCCGGAAATAAATATTATGTAAGTACATTTATCTTTTAATTATTCTGTCTTTGACCTAACTGGATTCTTCGTGCTATAATTGGATTTGTGTTAGTTTGTGCTGATTACTTTATTTTTTCTGACTAGTTACAAGGTTTAGCCAAACAAACAGATTTGAGTGAGAGAGAAATTCAGCGATGGTTTCGTAAAAGAGTCTCTCGCAATAAACCATCCACCCTCAATAAGTTCACAGAGAGCGCGTAAGTAGAATTTTAATTATTTTTAATAAATTGTTTTTATCTATTGTTTTATTTTCAATTCTTGCAACTTTTTTTTAATCAACAGATGGCGATTTACTTTTTACCTAGGTGCTTTTTCATATGGGCTATATGCCTTATGGGATGTGAGTATTATGTGTTATTTATTCATATGTTACTGTAGCACACTGTTTTTTTCCATTGTTTTTTTCTCATTAAAATATTTTTCCCTTCTCTGTAATATCTATTCTCTGTGTTTTAATTTTTAATTAGTACACACTCTTCAGTATTTACAATCTTTTGTGAAATATTTTCCTTAGTAGTAATAAAGAACTAAAGCTTTACGAAAATAAAATGAGTTTGTCAATTGATTATTTTGATACCTTATGTGCATATGTAAATTTTTTTCGGGCATGAAATGAGAGAGGGGGATAAAAAGTCTGAAAATACTTAAAAACTCAAATTAAAATATAAAATAAATAATAAAGCACAAAAAACCATTTTACACAAAACAAACACATAAATTATTTACATACTTATTTAAAGATTTTTATTTTATTACATGCGTTAATTGACAGTCCAACAAACTGTTAAGCTTTGATAAGTCAAGATTAAGAAGAATAAAATTATAATTATGAGGTAAAACAACTAATATACAGATGGAAGAGACATGTGACATTTTCTTTTATTATTTCCTCTCTGAAAAATTCCATTACAATTTTTAATGCTTGTATAAATCTGAGAAATCCTGAAGAATCTCATATTTTACATTGTAGTGGTCAAAATTTGCTTAAATCCAACTTATTTATCAAAGAATAAAATATTAATGTATAACCCTTGCTATATTTAAGAAAAATCTTAGGGAATGTTAAGGAAAATTTTAAAACAGTTAATGGAAATTTTTTTAAAATTTACAGAGAACAATTTTTATAATTTATGAACTTATATGTCCAATATTCAATCTTTAGCAAGTGTTTTTGTAATTTAATAAACTGTTAGTTAATTAAAAATGATGTTAGAAACCCCAAAATCACTGCTTTCAGGAATATGAAATGTGTAGATAAATGCGATTGATCCACTTACAATAAAGAGGCTCCTATCAACTTTTATTTATTTTGTGTGTGGACATGTATTCTTTGAATAAACTTTTTGTGTTCACTAATTAGCTTTGTTTTACGGTTTAAACTTGTTATTGTAAAAATAAATAGTTATAACTCATTTACCCTTATTGATAATATTTTACTTAGATTAATCTTTGAACTTCTTTATCCTAGAAATTTTCTGCAATGTTTAAGTGTACTAAACACTTAATATTCTTCTTATGATAATTCATGAATTAAGAAATAAATGCTCTTTTAGTTTTTAAGATTCTAACTTTTAATAGCTGAATGTAAAAAGCAAAATTTCTTAAGGGACATTATATTTTAATTGTGTCACTTGTAATAATAATGAATGCAATCTTTTGCTAATTTTTTATATAGAAGAAAAATAGTTTGTTTTTTGGCAGCCATATTTTAGTTTTCTCTTTGAAAGGTTCTCACTTTATTAAAATTTGTTGCTAATTTAACAATTAAAATCCCCATGGCAGAATCATGACGACATTGTTGTGGAGCGTTAAGAGTTCTTTCAGAGATTTTTCCTTTGGAAAGTAAAAAGTTTTAGTTTCTTTTCTGCGGAAATTAACTGAATCTTCAAAAGATCCTTTTTATTCTCCAGAATTATATTCAAAACATGCATTTTTCGCACATCAAAGTTGAAAGAAATGTTTGTGATTTTTCTATTGTATTAATTTGAGAATAGTGAAGTATAAACAGTTATGAAGTAAAGCATTTGTTTTTCGTTCCTGCAGAATTAGTTTCAAAATGTGCGCTTTTCACGCATTAGAGGGAAAAAATGCTTTTTTTTTTTAAAAAAAAATTCCTTTTTTACCCATTGGCAAAATGGGTGTTGTTTTGTTCTTGATGGCGTCTGCACCTTATTTGGAAGTCATCGCACTTTCCAACTGTGTTTAAGAGTAATAATAAACAATGCACATGTGTTGCTATGGCAACTGCTGCTGTTTGATAATTTTTTTAAAATTTTTTCTTTTTCTAACGTGGTTGAAATAAAATTGTCCAAAGGTTTCAATATATTACGCATTTGAGAATTTTAAATCGCACATTTGAGTCTTTACTGTTTTGCTCACAACTCGCACCGATTCCGTCGTAAATATATGTAGTGTTTTGATCATTTTTTCTGACAATCAGGCCAAGTTTGAAAATTATTCTGGCAAAATTAATAAATAATCTGGCAAAATAATTCTGGAAAATGATTCTCGAAGTTATTCTGGCTAAGTTCGAAATCACAGTTTTAAATATTTAAGTTTTTTGGCAGTTATTGCTATTGATTTTCTCATAGTTTCTATAATCCAATATTTTTCATACGATATTATTAATTACAATAACCGAATCTTGAGACTTGTTCCATTCGAGTGTTTTTACGGTCCTTTTTTTTTTGTAGTTACTGCTATGGATTTCACTATTTTTCATTTTTTTTTTAATGTGATGATTATTTACAGAGTGTGAAAAGGAAATAAGTTTTCCAAGATGCAGAATGTCACCCATACCATTAGAGTAAAAATATCATCATAATCAGTTAAAAAATTAGATACAATTTTATTTTATTTGGATAGGTTATTCCCCCCTTTTTTTAAGCACAATGCCTCCGTTAATCCAAATTAGTAACATTTATATTTGTTATTATTAAAAGTATCTTGCAGAAAGATATTGGTGCTAAAGAGTTTTGCCATTGAAAGCCGAAAAAATTATGCCACAGGGATTGAAATTTATGCAACTTGATGAATTTAATGGAGCTGTTCATGCTAATATCTGACCATCAATGATTAATAATTTAAATCTAGCAATCAGCAGCAATATGTTTCTGTTGAGAGAGAATATGAGTCGTCTAACAAGAACGGTACAAACAACGATTGATTTATTCTGTTCAGCTTCTTGTTTGGACATCTCTATTTATATATCAATGAGTTTTTTCATTTTTTAATTTGATCAGCAAATTAAATAATTTTCTGAAGTTTTTTTTTCTTCTCCCTTCATAGAAACCATGGCTTTTAGACACAAATTTTTGCTGGTATGATTACCCTCATCATGTAAGTAATATAATTTTTATTTTATGAATTTTTGATATGTTTGTTATGACAGAAAATGTTTTTGTGCAAGATAATAGGTATTTTTCTACCATATAAGTGTCAGGCAGGTATAGAAACATTGTTAGACTTGGTTGAAAGTTGTTTCAACTTCTGGCTAATATTTATCATCATATTTTGCCCTTATAATACTCTGCTGTCTGGTTTCCTTCTCTATTTAATAATGGATAAATGAACAGTAAATCAGTGCTGATTTAAATTCCACGATCATGTTAAATGGTTAAAGTGAGGGTTGCCAAGCCTGCAACCCTATTGCTAAGTATGAACATTGAATTGTGACACAAAGCAAAATTATTTTTGAATATATGGGGAAGAAATATATAAACATTTACCAGTCATTTATAATTTTTATTTGTAGTGACAATTTTTGAAAATATCTTCTTACTTTGCCATATTTTTGTGTTGATTGTTCAATATAATTTTTTAATTTTCACAAATTATGTCTAAATGTTTACAAAATAGGTTCCTCTCATAAAAACCTAGACAGACCCTTGTTAATGTAAATTTTATCTTTCATTTTTTTAAATTTTTATTTAAATTTATGATTATTACTGGAGGTTAAAGTTGGATAAAAATATTATCCTTTAACAATACTAAAAATATTATACTATCAATGTACATATAACTATTGTGTATATAATGTTAGAATTAATGTTGCATAGGGTTTAAGAGGTAATATTTAAAAATTGAAACTTATTAGAATAAGAATAAACGAAACTTAAAAATCGTGATTCTTTTAATCTGTCTCTTCTAATTTCTTTTAATTATCTTCAATATTTTTTAACATAAAGTTTTTTTTAAACTTTTCAGAGTATGACAAATGATATTTGGTGGTACTACATGCTTGAGTTAGGTTTCTATTGGTCTCTAACTTTTTCCCAGTTTTTGGATACCAAGAGAAAGGTACCATATAAATTATTCTCATTTTACCATAATACAACATTTTTTTAATAAATTTTAATATGAGTGTTTTTTATTTTATCTCTGTTAATATTTTTCACTATATTTTTTATATGTACTTAAGTGTTGATATTTTTCAGTTGAATTCTTAGACTTTTTTTATGAATTTTTTTTTATTTGTTTCTGTTTAATTTGATTCTGAATTAATAAATAATAATTATGATGTGTCATTTTGATGACTTGTGCAAAAATGTGCAATTTGCTCATTATAGCAAATGCCTACATTTTCGAAATGCTAGTTTCAAACAGTATTTTTTCTGATATAGTAGCCATTAAGTAGTTAACATCCATGTAGCCAGTATGTATGTTTTCCATCCAATTTAAAAAATAATGAAAGGGTAAATTGAATTTGTGGAATTTTGGTCATACCTTAGATTGGCAATGGTATGCTTTTTTCAAAAGTAACAAACTATCTTAAACTTTATTTTGACTTTTTCTACCAAATTAACAACACTTATTTTAAGGCTGCTGATGTGTATGCAAAAACAATATTTTTCAAAGATTTAAAAACAATCAAATGTAAAAGTATATCTACCTTTTAACAAATGTTGGTCGCAGAATTGTTTTGCTTTAATAGTGTCAGAAATAATCTGTAGATTTTAAGCGAGGGACAATTTTTTGAAAGATATAATCAAAGTTGAGTAAATGGTAAATGGCAAACATTAGTTAATTGATGAAAATAAAATAAAGATATTGAAGTTATAGTTTACCATCCCCCTTTCTGCTTACACCCCTTTAACTGTTGAACAGGAAGGCGACTCTTTTTTTCTTCTCGCATGCCAATCAGTTCAAAGAAGGATAGTAAACTCATTAAATTTTGAGTTATTAAAGTGTTCTGATATTAAAATCTTTTATAAAGGTTCTTTGAAATTGCATCAACTGATTATAAATCTTTATTTAATATAATTTTGCTATTTTTTCTTAGGATTTCATGCAAATGTTTGTCCATCATATTGTTACTATATTGTTGTTGACTTTTTCATGGACATCAAATTTGTTCCGTGTCGGCAGCTTAGTACTCGTAATCCACGATTTTGCTGATGTTCCTCTTGAAGTAAGTATTTTTTATTGTTCATAATCATACTTAATTCAATTTTTATGAACTGGGAGAAATAACTTATTTCTTATTTCAATACATCTCTAGTTTAAGTGTGTCTCATTTATGAATTTGAATGAAATTGTAGTTCATTATTTTTGATGCAGAGAAGAAAGTATTAATCTAGCAATATTTGTGTCATATTTCTTAAGTTGATTGCTCCTCCCCCTCCAAGAACTCAAAATAGTTTAAAAACAAGATTTAATGTGTTCTCTGATTTGTGATTTTAAAGAATTTTATTTTATTTTTTTAAATGCAGTGAATTTACAAATATACTACATTGTAAAATTACAAGAACAGTAATCCTTTGTGAATAAAATAGAAAAATGTTTAAAAATCACAAATAGTTAGATATTTTATTGAAACCCATACACTTTTGGTGTTATATTGGTTTACCTTCATCAGTAGAATAGATGGTAAAACAGAGATAATATAAATCAATTGTGGTTATCTCACGCTAAAGAGATGAACCTATAGTTATTCTAATTTTGTATACAATATATTGATGAATGCAAATAATTTTTATTGTTATAAGACAATTAGTAAGCATTTTTGAGATATTAGTGTCTATTAAAACTCCTATTCCTATAAATATCTATTTGAATGGATTTGATATTCATTTTTTCTTTAATGAACTAAAAATGTTTTTGTAGGCTGCAAAGATGGCAAAGTATGTTGAGAACCAACGTGTGGCAGATGCCAGTTTTGCAGTTTTTACAGTGGCCTGGATCATTTCAAGACTTGGCCTTTATCCTTACAGGTGAGTACTACTTGTCACAAATGACTTGCAACTAACTACCCCAGACTGTAGGGTTACTAAAACAACTCATTGCCAACTTGTTCCAAACAGCAGATGAATATTTTTGAGTCTTTTAATATATGATTCCCAGCTTAGTAAGTTCGATTTATAAGGTTTTTACTCACCACTGCTTCTGTATAATTCAAAGGCTTATGTCATCAATCACTTAGTTATAGTTAAGCCGCTTTGAGCCATTTAAAAAGTTATCTTTCATTTTTCAATGAATAACTAATAACATTCAACTCATTTTTCAATGAATAACTAATAACAATAATAAAACAAATAAATTCGTGATATAAATAAAAAATCGTCAAATAAATTCATAATATATAAATTCGTGAAAACGCTTTCGACAAAATACTAAAATAGAGATCTATCGACAAAGACTACTCACTTCTGCCTAGCTTAATAGTATGAGATTGCCACAGCTGATAGGGTGAATTTCGGAAGAGATCACATTTGATTATGCTCTCTCTCTGGTTATTTCAGTTTCTGTTTTTAAAAGTGCTATATGTTGAGTCACCTCACTAGATTTGGCGTGTGACATTTTTAGCGGTCGATTATCTAGGTTTTATTGGTCGATTTTCTAGCGTTGCCATTCGGGGAGTTATAATTAGGCTTTTTTTGTCGCCGTGTAAGAGAAATATATATATATAGATATGTGTAAGGACAAGAACAGTTCTTATGAGCTCTCTCTCTCTCTTTTTTTTTATATGCATTTCAAGTGAAATATTTTCATTTTCAAAATTCCTAATTATAAATTGTCCTATTTAAAAACCGAATTAAATATGATTATAATATCGAAAACAATTCTAAGTTTTCATCATATACAAAAAAAAGGCACAATTTTAACAAAAAAAATAAGTACAATTTTTAAAAACAGTTAAATATTGTGCACAGTGATCTCAATTTTAAAAATAGAGATCACTGTGCACAATATTTGACTTAATTTTTTTTTATTGCGTGCCTTAACATAATATAATTATAAATTCTTTACAAAAAGTTAGGTACTAAAGTTTGAGAAGGAAAAAAATGCTTAGTTTTGTAGACAACTTCTGATATGATTAGATAAGAACAAAGTTGTCAATTTAAATCATAATTTTGGCTACACTGATATCTAGGTATGAAGTATGTTTTAATTTTTTTTATTTCACATTATATATATATATATTTTTCTTTTTAAATGGCCATTTTTACTGATATATTTGAACAAATTTTTCTGAGAAAAACCATAAGTTAATCTATGTTTTGAATTCTGAAACAGAATCAAAAGAAGTTTAATGGCTGTAAGATTTGTTTTCCAAGCAAAATGTGATATATTTTTTTTCTCTTCTAAATCTTCAATTTCTGTAAATTTAACCTTTTCCCTTGTCCTAAGTGTGTAATGTTTTTAAAAAGTGCTTAAAGGTGATTATTTCGATATTCATTTTTTAAAAGCCTTTGAATCTTTTTCCGTTGGGTGTTTTTAAAAAGTGCTTAATTTTCTCTTTTCCAAAATAAGATTTTCTCTCTTTCCCATGAATTATTAAGAAAGCATTTTAAAATTGTTCCATTTAATATTTTTACATTTCATTCAGCCACAATTCATTTTGGTGTATTCTCGACCCATAGCGTATGAAGGCACCAGTCACTTTACATGTTTCATTAAATCATATTTTATTTCAAAAGTGCTTAATTTTCTCTTTTCCAAAATAAGATTTTCTCTCTTTCCCATGAATTATTAAGGAAGCATTTTCAAATTGTTCCATTTAGTATTTTTACATTTCATTCAGCCACAATTCATTTTGGTGTATTCTCGACCCATAGCGTATGAAGGCGCCAGTCACTTTACATGTTTCATTAAATCTTATTTTATGTTGTGGGTCCGCATGTGCATACACTGAACTGAATTCTGTGTGACTGGATCTTGAACTCTCATGTGCGTTTCTGCTGCATTTCACAATTTTAGGCTTTATTTTCCACCGTCTGAAATTGAACCTAAAAGTTTCTAAAATTTTTGCTGAACATGAGGACAAATTAAACACTGCCAAATTTTTTTCTCCCTTATCAAAGGAAAATTTTATTTCTCTTTTAAATTTCATCATTGGTGAAGCGCCATTGTCTTCGTCACTGACAAGCTAATGATGTTCTATTTATAGATCTGTACCATAATCCTTGAAGTTGACTTGGGGTCATTCTTTAATTTTGTCTTCTCATGCGAATTCAGAGCAATCAACAATAACAGAAGAATTCATTGAAATTTTAATCGTGGAATTTTTTACTTAAGGAATAATTTCATAAAATTTTTTGAACTTTCTATAGTACTTAATTTTTTTACTTATTACTTTTTAAATTTTTACTGCTTTTGAGATATTTTTTGAAAGAGAGCAAGATTTTACAAAAAGTGTGAATTGAGGGGCTTTTCTCTATTTTGACACATATAGCATATCCTGTAAAAAATCTTATCTTATTCATATTTATCATTCCTTAAAAAATTTAATCTTTTAATCAACAATTAAAACAATTGAATTGATTTAAAAACAATTGAAGTAAAAAATTCAATAATCCTAGATTTGTTAAATATTATGAATGAAGGGACCATACAATAATTTACTTATGATAAAAAAAAATTTACGGTTCAATACTCATTGTTAAAATTTTTGAAAAATTTTTTTTAGTTGTTTTATTAGAGAAATATTGAATTACAAATTTTTATAAAAATGTAGTTGGCACCATTCACTTATTTACTTTTGTAATATAAATTTATTAGGGTTTTCTTAGTTTGCTTAATTCTTTGCACATTTTTATTAATTCAGTATGATCAATATTAAATTTTGTTAATGTTTTTATTGAATATACGTTTATAAATTATCTTTTATTTAAATCTAAAATATTCACCCAATAACTTTCTTAAATATAGCCTTAGATATAACTATTAATTACATAGTTTTTATAATTAATCTTCCTAGTTTATGTAATATCTTTCTTAAATTTAATTATTTAGTTTATATAATTATTAATTTAAATTAAAATTATTTTTTTTACATATTTAAGTAAAATAACTACTAATTTTAAAAATAGAATAAGCGCCTTAATATGAAATATATTTAAAAAAGTGTGCATGAATTGTTATTACCTTGGCTAATATAATCAATAAAAAGAGCTCTTTGTCAGAAACTAGTTATTTTATCATGATCATGTAAAGTATTTGAAAATGTTTTTCCATTTTGTTTATGAAAGAACTTTTAAACAATAGGAGGGAAATTTTTTATTTATTTGTGTAACCTAAATTATGTTTTTTCTTTCTTTTATTTGAAAGAAGTGCTTAAAAAGTGCTTTTTTTGTTGTTGAAAAATTTGGCTACACGCCCTGTTGTCTTATTTGAAAGTATCAAGGAATTTCTTAGTAATAATAATTAAAGCAATTTATATATTTAAGGTCAATTTGTGCACTTACGAAATATGGTTGTTCTTACAAGTTTTATAGGATTTCTTTCGCAAAATTGAAAAAACTACATATACAGTGCAAGTGTCTCAAACAATTGAGTTTGATTTACTTTATGTTAAAGCTTAAATATTGTATAAATATGTTAGACTATTTTATGCTTGTGGAAGCTATTTTGCTAGATTATTTTTCATATTTAAAGCAACTAGCCCTTTTTTCTTTTTTTTTTGTATTTACTTAAAACATTAAAATTTCTGAATGCATTACAATGAATTTAATGAGTAGTTTTTTTAAATGTGATTAGAAAATATGTGATAATGATCAGGTTTATTAAATCTACTGAAAAGACATTTTTTTAAAATGTTTAAAAAATATCTGTAAAGACTTTCATTTTCATTCAACATTTCCTTCCCCCCCCAATAGATTTTAATATTTTCTGAAACATCTCAACCTAAATTTAATGTGCACATTGAATTCAACCGTTTTTCAGAAGAAGACAACATAAAATAATAAAATTTGGCCTTTTGTTAGCTGCCATTGCTATTATTAGATTAACTTATAATCTGGGGTTTACTTTAGTTATCAATTACTAAAAACTAGTCTGTAGTTTGTTTAATGAAACTGGAACTGAATTCTAAGTTAAAAATGCATTTATTATTTGAACATGTTTCATTGCAGAATAATCTACAGTACAATGTATCAAGCTTTGTTGATTGTACCCATGTTTCCTGCATATTATGTTTTTAATACATTGTTATGCGCCTTGCAAGTTTTACACATTGTTTGGACTTGGATGATCGTAAAAATTGCCTTGAGAGCTGTCTCTGCTACCAATCCGGGTGTAAGTAATTTTATTTTTTTGCCAGTTAACTTATATTTATATATAGTACAGTAAATAAAACTTATTATTTTTCTTTGTTAATATCTTTTCTTTGATATTTTTGTCTTTATTATGTTATATATATGTGTGTGTGTGCGCATAACAAAATAGTTTAAAAATGCCTGTAGAAGCACCAATATGTTTAAAGGTGTTTGCGAAACTTAAAACGTTCTTACTTATAATTGTCAAATAAATTGTTCTATAGTCACTACCTCAGAAGGCAAAATTGATTTATATCACATTGTATTGTGTGCATAGTAAATAACTACTAGAATGATTTTGCCAAAACAAGGCTTTATCTTGGTAAAAATTAGCTAACTAGCGGAATAATTGATAATAACATAACCTTTTTTAAAAATTTCAAAAAACGTAACTGTGCCAATATTGCCAACTTCTCTCGCTTCAGATTTATCTTTAGTGTTTATGGTAGTAGTAAATCATTTGTATTGTTGATTTAATATTTGTTAACTGTTAATTTTATGAACTTAATTTATAGTAACCGCCACTCTAAACAGTTGAAATAAATATGTAAGATCTTGCATCAGTGCAGGCCAAATCAAAGCTCAGACTTCTATTTTTATTTCATTACCGCTCAAAATATTGTGGAAGCTAAAACTTCTGATTTAGTATCAAACGAAACATTTATTTTTTTGATGAAATATATCCTGGTTTTGAGCAATCATTATTGATAAATAACATATATACAGATTGTCAGGAATTTGGAATGATTGTTTATTTAAAAAATATTTTTTGGTTATATATCAGTATGCATTTTTTGTGGTTTATATTTGTATAAAAATTTGGCATTATTGATATTTTAATAAAAATTATGCCTCTGGTTACAAAAACTAGGCAAATTCAATATAATCAGTCTAAAAAAAATCAGGGATTTTTTTCCCCTTTGTGTTTGTGGTAATCACATAGTGGTGTCTATTAAGAGCCCAATTTTTTTTCTCTTAAAAAAGACTCTTATTTAAAATAAGCTAAATATTCATATTCTTTCTTGTTAGGTGAAAGATTTGCGCAGTGATAGTGAAGAGAGCTGCGAAAGTAGCAGTGAAAATGAAGCCAAAGACAGATCTAGTCAGGATGGTAACTGCTCTCTGCCTTCTCGGACATCATGATTTAACATTCATTGCATTCCACTGTTGGGTAAATAAAGCCTAAAGGGGTTATTCCAAAGAAATTTTTTTTTCAGTATTTTTTGCGCTTATTTTTTTAAAGAATTTTTTCTTTTGCTTTATCAGTCAGGGACACATATATTAGCTTTTTTTAGTACATGTGGAAATACTCTGCTTCTACTTTTTTTAAGATTAGTTGCATGATTACTTGTGCTCTTATTTCGCATCTGTGTTTTTCAGGATGAAGTGAGATAAAGCTAACTGTTATTGACTTGTTATTGACTCGTATCTGTTAATAGGTAGCTGGATCCGAGTACCGTAACGTCTTCACTGTAACTCATGGTGAAAAGTAATTCTTTAAAATATTGGTACTCAATTTTTTACTACTCTCCTTTTTAAATGTTATGCTGCCTCATTTTCATAATGACCTTGTTATGCGAGTCGCAAAATTAATTGGACATTATCGATTGACTTTTGTTTACAAATCTATTAGGTTAAATTTTTTCTAATTAAACTCATGTTATTTGAGACTGAAAACGTCTTAACTGATTGTTCAACACAATTATAAATATCTTCTTTTCTAAGTTTATTACTAGAAAATGAGTTTTGATCTTACATCTGGCTTTTTCATATTGATATAGAGTTTTAATATCTTAAAATTATAAAAATATTTTCTTGTAATGGATTTATGGGCATTGGTGAAAATTTGTTAGCTATATTTCTAAATTTAACTGGTAAGCCATTTAGTAAATTCCTCAAGGTCTTTTATTTTAGATGCATAACATTTCATGTGTTACATGGTACTCGTTTTCAATGCCTGTGTAATTGATAAGTATATTGTCTGTTAACGATTGTGTGGGACTTTAATTTTTTTTAGGAAAACTTTTGTGATGTAAAGAAAGATTTATTTATGTAGTTATTTGAGCTTCAAGCTCTTCATTTGGTTATGATTTTTATTTTTGTGTTATTTAGAGCGCTGTACTTATTTACATATTGCAAAAATTTATTTATTGCTACTTACATTTGTGGTGATGTATCATTCAAAAAACGATATAAGCAATTATTTGTAAAAATTATTTTTATATGTTTTGCATTCCATTATATTAATTGTGGACCGTCCGCTTGCCAAATGTCTGATGTTATAGCATTATGTATATGATCTGTAATAATTTTATGAAATTATATGAATTTTCCAAAACCGCACACACTGTTTGAGTTTTAAAATAACATTGAATGCTTAAAGCAGTCTTAGTGTAGCTTATTTTTTTATTATGTTTGATAGTTTATTTACAGTTTCATGTCAAGAAAATTGCTTTTGGATATTTGTAAAATACACATTATTTGTAAATTTTTCACTGATTTCTATGTTAATTGTAATGAAAGTTTTTTTGTGTTAAAGATATTTACTCACAAACATTTCTTAAGGATGCTCCGATTGATCTCATTTTTGTTCTTCTTATAAAATAATGTCCCCTTCAACAATGTTCTTGTAAATACTATGGCAATTATTACTATTGCTTCTTAACTTTGAAAAATAAATTTTTTCACGTCTCCACCTTTAAACAATGCATTATTACATTTTTATACATTTTTTTTTCCTTTTTAACTCTGTACATAGAATTTGAAAGACAAAGCTACATTGCTATTTCTTTCATACCCTATTGCACCGCCGCAGTATTTATGAGAATATTATGCTGAATTTCTTAAATTGACTGTCAATTTATTTTTCACAGTGTGATCACATGCTCATTAATATCACAACTTTTATTCCCACACTTTTTTTCCTTTCTATAATTAAATTAAATTTTCAATTATAAAATTTTTTACTGCCCTGCCCCCCTTTTTTTTGTTGAAATAAATCTGGTAATTCTATGTATTGATGAAGTAGGGATCATTGATTTGTTTCTTTGTATTGCAGACAGTTAAAAATTCTTTTTTTCAGTATGAATCATTTTCTTCTATAAGGCACTTAAAATAATTGCTATGTGTAAAGAGGAACTAATTTACTTTTTGTACCCCTACTTTCTAAAAAAGAAGATGAGCACATTATTGTGAAATTATGCTTATCAACTGACTTTTATTTCTAAACAAAAGATTTCATTTCAGGATATTTTTGAAAACCTCTCCCTTTTTTTATTAACTTTTACAAATTTTTTTTTTCCCATTTGAAGATTAATTTTTATTTCTTCACCCACAAGTTAGCAAATTTATTTATTCAGTAATTAAATTCAAAGAAATTTATTGGTGCATTTCGTAAACTTTAATAATTATCTTTATTCAATTGAGATGCATTGGAAGATTTTTGACTATAGTATAAAAAAGTAACTCCTGTAATTTCAGTTAAATATTTTATTTTAATATTAATATTGATATCTATTAATGAAAAAAGAATAATTACCACCCATTGAAAAATTTAGGCACAAGTTACGTCCTTTTTTTGTTGTTTTTTCATCTGAAACATCTATAGATCTGTCTGATTGTCATTTGTCTTTAGATAAAGAACAAATGTTTCTTGATTTCCCATAAAAAAATGAATATTTTTACGTTGGTGTAAATTTTGAAATTCTTTTATGTGAGCGTGTTATGATATTGGCTTTGTGTTATACAAATGTTATATATGCTTTGAGTTGGTGTATAAGTCAGGGAATTTAATACTTATGAATTATTTTTTCATACATTTAGATTTATTATTTTGTATATTTTCTTTTTGTGATTCTAATATTTGCTGAAGTTATTTTGAGCTTGTTATTGTTAGAGCTTGTTCTAAGGTTTGAAAATAGTTTCTGGTTTTCTTTGTATTAATTCATTCAACATTAACTGTTGACCCATTCATGGTTGGGTTAATTGTAATAATGTTGATTATGTCATCTGCATTTCTCTAGTTTAATCTTTTTTTGTCCTTAAAGCAACTTTTTCCATAGTTATCAAAATTATATTTTTACAATGAAAAGTTCAGCAATACAGTTAACTTTTGGTATATCATGCTTAATATTTTAGATAATCATATTTAAACAAATGCAGTAATATTGTGAGAAAAAGTAATTTACATTTCTCTCTTAATATAACATTGATTTTAAAATTTGATGTAATAAAACTAATCAAGCTCAAAAAATTTACAAATTTTTGCAAATGCTTTTTATTAAGTTTTGAGTTTAAATTTTTTTGTATCTATTTAATGTAAAAACCTAAAAGAATATTTTTTGTTATTATAAAAGAATATATTTATTTTCATTTCACAATCTCTTATCTGATGTATTTGAACTTGCAATGTATATTTGAACTGCTTTTATGTGCTTTTTGTAGATTTAATGGCTTTAAAATGGGTGTTTTTATTAAGCTGACCCAGTCAACCAAATTCATTTAAACTTTTTTTAATGTTTTTCTGTGATATGACAGTTCTAAATTATAAAAGCTTTTTATTTACGATTAAAACTAATCTTTATTGAAAACTTGGTATAAGTGTTGTGTGTTAAAAGATATGAAAATAGATAAATTTATGTCCATAAAAAGGCAGCTTTACATTTACTGGTTTTTTTATTTATCTTTTACTCTATAAATTTAGGAAATGCATTACTTTTTTTTATTTAAAATCTGCACAATAGAGCTGAAAGATGTCATAGTTTTAGTGTTATATAGCATCAGGAAATATGAAACACATCACTGATTTTTCAAAATTTCACTATATAAAGTGCCCCTTAAGCCTGGAACCACCCTCCCAACTTTTTAATGTCTAGGTATAGTAAAGTGGCTATACACTATTTGAAAAGACTTTACAGCATCACCTGGTGGAAAACTGAAGAATTAGAAATCTCCAAAACTGTACTAGATAGGAAAAAGATGAATTATAAAGTAAGGTAGTATCAGCTTTGTAGTATCGACTTGATAACATCTATTTTGCAAAACTTTAGTAGACAACAAAAGAAAACTTAGAACTCTCCTTTATTTGTTCTAGATTTCCTAGACGAAGAGATTTTAGACAGAAAATAACTAGTTACCGTATGCCTCTATTTTTCATACAAACCATAAAACAAATAAGAGTAGGCATTTTTTAATCAAAAGATTTTTTTTTTGCTTTCAAAAATTTAGATATTTAATGGTGTAGGGAGGGAAGAAAAAACAAATGTTTGATTTAAGTGTTCTTTTTTCTTGTTGCCACTAACTGTTTATTTGTACTAAATAAATGATGTCATGAGCCTTAGTACTCTACTTTTTCTTCCCATCTATTTTAAGGATGGTTGATTTTCTGTTCAGTTTTCCACCAGATGGTGCTGCATGGCATTTTTTTAAAGTAGGTTTATAGCCTTTTTGCTTAACCTAAACATTACTTTTATAGCTAGAGCTTAAGCTGGCAGTTAGGGTGGTTCAAGTTTTTATTGACATCTTCTCTGTTGCAAAATAGTTAGTCATTGTTGAAGAAAATAGCACCCAAATTTACTAACTATTGATACATATATATATATAAAAAAAAAAGGACTTACATTTATTTAGTTTGAGATTTCCTTCCCTTTCATTTTTTTAGTTTTGTAGCAATTCAAGGAACACAAATATTTCAAATCTAGTGAAATGATCTGTTCAAAACATAGTGTCTCTGTATGCATTCAATGTATATACAAGAGATCCGGACTATGTAAATTATTAGAAATTTGTCTAGACTATTATAAGTAGCTCGTAAAAATTCATTTGAGTAATTAGCTTTATATCTTAGGGGGAAAAAAGCCATTAGCCATATAAACGCTTGAAAAACGAGCGGTAAAAAATTAGAATTATGCATATTACTCAGATTTAATTGCTAACTTACCTTTGAAATTTAACTTTCTCACTATGCTAATAAAATCATATAGTTTTTGAGTAGGTTCAAACACTCATTATGTAAGATTAGAGTTGGGTGAATAATAAGTATGTAAATAGCGAAAAAAAAAATTTTTTTTTAATGCAATTTTGTGAAGGCATTCATTTCAAAAGAATTACAGAAACATTTTTCATATTTAGCCCAGTATATAATTCCATGACTGAGATAATTATATTTGATTGTCGCGTATGACTAAGATAATTATATTTGTGTGTCCAGTTTATGGAATTTTGAGTCAATTCAAATTTAAACATACTTGATCTGCAATATAGTTTAATACTTTGACAATAAATTAAACTTTTTTTTTAATACGATAAAAGAAAAGCTGTTAATGTTATTTTGTGAATGTTTAAGAAGATAAATTCACCTTTTCCAAATTTTTCTTGCTAACACTATAAAAATTATCGAAGAACAAATACAATTAAAATCTTTCCTTTTCTTAAAAAAAATAAATAAAAATGATTTTATTCATTTTGCGGTATTGTTACAGGTAACTACAAACAAACTTATTTATAATGAGACAAAGACCTAAGGAATTTTTTTTTTGTTTGTTAAACTCAAACCTATTGAAAATTTTAAAATCATGTGACAAAGAATGGACCAGAGAGTAAATAAATGTTTTTATAATGAATGAACAAAATGCAGTTCTGGAATGTAATTCTGAAACATATTCTTAAATTCAGAACTAAATTTAAATTTTATGGTTTTCTCATTATTTAGAGTTAAGGGGTATGGCAACTTCATCCTTAAAGTGGCTAATTCATTCATTTTTGTGGTAATCCTTGCATGAGCATTGGACTTCACCTAATGATGAGATAGGTAATTTACTGTTTATTTTCGTTACATGATAGAATTTGCAGCAAATCAGATTAAGGAGAGCTTTTTAAACCTTTCCTCAAAGAGATTACCAGAAATGATCTGAACTTATTTTCAGCTAACAGGAAGCTTCTTGAAATCTAGCACTGCCAAATCTAAGTTATGCGTGACAAAAAAATAAAACAGCTTCATGTGAGTGCTCTGGTTGTAAAACTATTCTGATTTTTTTTACTCTTAACATGAACAAATGTTTCTATATCAGAATTTATTTTTGCGATTTACTTACTCTTAATAGAGATACACAGTGCAGTAACTAAAGTCATTTTTACTTCCTGAAACGCAGAATATAAACTATTATTTGACTATAACAGTGTCTGTCTGAAAACAGACGTTATTTTAACTTCCTGAAATACATAACATAAATTATTTGCCTAACTGTTTTTACTGCCTTAAAGAAACATAATTTGTCCGCAACAGGGATTTTAAAAATTTTTGCTTTAACTGATCCTTAAATAGAGTACTTTAAAGTCTCATAATCTAGTATGAAAAAAAAAAGCCACAACTTGATATGTTTGTTACCAGCAGAGTTAGAAGTGTTTCTGAAGAAGAAAAAAAAAACTCAGTTTATTTTTTAAAAGAGGGTGCAACTCTGAATCGCTTAAATAAAAAGAAGTCAGTAAGTTTTGCAACTGGAAGACTCTTATATTCTTAGCATTTAATCAACCAATTTTTAAATATTTTCTCTTTCTACACCTAAATTAAGTCAGGTCCCATAATAGAGTGCAATATGCCATTCACTATGGCACATTGAACTAGATATTGATTTATATCTAAAATTTTTATGAAGTACCTGGTTAATATCTTATATACCTTTTGCTGTTACAACAGCTTTTTAGCATGCAAGACGTTAATAGGATAAAAAGGAATTCGTTTTTTTTCCTCTCTCCTATTTCATTTTAAATAGTTTCTAAATTTAGGTTCATCATTCAGTGCCTTCTAACACAACACTATCGTGTGTTCGGACTTATAGCTTATTCTTCTACATAGATGCCTAAAAAGTTGATATTTGTTAAGAAATTTAAAAATGAAATGATTTGTTTTTATTATAAAAAAAATTGTGTTTATAGAATTGAAAAATATATATATAGATGCGTGTATAAGTGACTCATAGCATTACTTGTTCTGAAACGGGTGTTATGTTTTTAGTGATTCAATAGCCATGTTTCAACCAAGCCTTTTCTAGTGTCTTTGAAATTTTACGAAAGTGTCATGTCTTGAAATAACACGATTGAGCATGTCAGCTCACTTCAGAAACTAAAAAGTATTTTATCTTGTGCTTCTGTTTAAAAATTTATGAAGCTGGTTGTGTTTGTGCTTAAAGTGCTGTTTATATAGTCGTGAGCCTCATTGTTGTAGTTCTCATTGTGTATAAAACGTTTCATTTAAATTATTTCCTTCGGGTTTCGTTTGTTTTTTTTATTTAGCAGGATAAAATTTATCTTTAAAAAATTCTGATATTTTTAAAATTGTTTACTGTTGAAAAATAAAAGCTGACATTTTTATCGCTTTCGAATTACTTTTGTGTTTGAAATCGAGACTTTTTGAGTAAATTAATATACCTCTGTAAAAGTAAGCACTAACCAGGAATGCCAACTTATTACGGGTTTTAACATAGTTTTTTTTATTGTATCTATTTATTCCCTTACCCTATTAATTTGCTCATTTTTAAAAGCAATAAAATTGAAGCGAAACAAATCTTTCAATTAAATGAGAAGACCAATAATTATTTTATTAGCCAATAAAAATAAGTGAGCGTATTAAAAAAAATTCATACCTTGTAAATGCATGAATTATTAAATCTTTATTTTTGTCCCAAGTGTTTTTCATTCTAACACTTCCTTATTTTAAGAAATGTGGAACCTATTACATACTTTCTTTTTTTAAAAAAAATACAGTTCGTTATATTTGAAGTTATGCTTTAACATCCTTAATTAAAGATTAGATTTCAATCACAAACAGTCCTTATAATGTGTTATTTCATATGAATATGCATCAATTACGATGCATTTTATATTTATAATAATTTATTGTAAGGTTTCAATTTTTAGCTAAAAACATTTTTTAAAAAATATTTGCCAAACTTTTAAATGCGTTATTACTCTATAAATAAATAAAGTTAGAAATTGTAATTCTTGTAATGTTTATAGCAGTACAAAGTGTAACATAAACTTAAAGATGCATCCACTAAAATAAGTGAAAAAAGAAAAGCTGCCAGTCATACAGCATTAATGTGCTTTTCAGATATATTTTCCGTGGAAGTTCATTAGATAAGGTGCTCTCGTTTTATATTTTATTTTTCAATGGTCTTAAAATTTCAATTTTATTTAACAGTCAGGTTTCAAACCTGTATATTTTCGTTAAGATTTCTACGAATGTTTTCTAAACATAGGTCACAATTCAAATTCCTCAAAATAATTGTTCATATTTTTTTATTCTAGTGAATTTCATTTGTATTGTTCTTTCTTATTTATTTCAATGATTTAAATAAAAAAAAAGTATCAGATTTAAAAATTGTGATGTCATAAATATGTACTAGATCGTTCAAAAAGTATAAAGTCAAACATCTAAAAGTATAAATAATTAGGAGCACTTTAGAACACACCCTAATTATAATCAGTTCGTTAAAAGTCAATGAAACGAAATGAGATAAAAACATGACCTGTTACAAGTTGGCATTTCTGTGTAATTAATTCCACTTTGCTACAACTCACCTTGTGGGTCACTTCTTTATTGCATATTTTCTTGGGAACTTCTTTAATAAAAGGTGCAACTCATCTAGTCCTGTTACGGCTCCTGTGTATATGTATTTGAAACAGTAATAAAAGATTTTGATTTCTACCTTTTTTTCTTTTCTAATTAATACTCATTCTAGTTTAACTTGTATATTATCAACTTTAGCCTCATACTAATAAATATATATTTATATCGAATTTCAAAAAAAAAAAAAAAAAATTATTACACATAATTTTGATTTTAAAAGACTAATTGTTAAGTTGGCTGGTATATATATTCTTTTTAGTATCGCTACTTTTGAGTTTTTTACAAGCTTCAAAATTTTATGTTTATAGGGTTGACAAAAACCATGTTAGCTTTTAATAATGTATATTCAAAACTTTTCCCCCTTCAGAATAATTTGGTTTTCAAGACTTTTTTATTTTTAAGAAATGAGCACAAAATTACAATTTGAATATACCTTACCTTTAATGTTTGATTTTTCTTGCTTTTTTTATGGAATTTACATTTACACATTTTGAAGTATTTAAAGTTTTGATTCCAAATTTTAATAAATAAGCTACAGTTTCAAATATACAGGGGTAGCAGCAAAGTTTTTTAAAATTTTAGGAACTTTTTTCAAAAAATTTTAGGGGTAATATATGATATTGTTAGGATAAAAACAGATCACACGGTAGTTTATTACATAACAGAAGATTATTACAATTCATCCACACATATCATAAATAATTGCAAGCCATAAAATAAAGCTCTGAAATTTATTAAGTCAAGAATGAAATCTCTAAAGTGTAAAAATGAAATTTCAACTTTACATATTACCTATCAGAAATTAAGTGCATAATTCAGGAACAGGCAAAAGTGAGAATAAATCAAGAGAAAAAATAAATTAACACCAACTTGGATTTTTATTTAATTTTTACCTTCTTAATCAAAACTTTATTATTACCCTTTACCTTACTTTATTAAGAAAAACTATTGTGTGATATTATTAGATTTCAAATCAGCAATTTATATTAGAAGTTAGAGAAAAACAAATTAATCATGATCATTTTTCTAATATATTCTACTGTGAAGATGAGTCCTACAAGT